TGAAAAGCCAGGAAATTTTACACAACTGACTCACTAATAATGGTTGAGCTTGTTCTGAGAGTAACAAAACTATCAGTTGCCCTCCCCTGCACTCCTGTCTTTCTTCTTTTGCCAATGTCTCCATTTGTTTTCTAGGAATTTTAACCTGCCAATAAGATTGTTATGAGGATTAAATAATATGTATGAAATGCATAAAACAATGACTGGCATCAAGCAAGCAGCCAATAATAAATTTTATCTACTCTATTTTTCCTATATGCAGCATTTTTTAATCAATAAAAATGCCTTGTCATTTTTATCTGAAAGTATCAGGCAGCATTCTAACTATCCTGGGAGATAAGATGCTCAAACACTTGCTATACTTGCTTAGATGGATCAATTACTGATACGTCCTGAAAAAGATAATCAACACTAATAATTTTAAGGCTGTACACAATGGCTCACTTTCACTATCTCTGAGGCAGAGCACTGTGGGACTAACGGAGCCTGAACTCCTAAGAAAATATTAAGGTAATGATACTGAGGTACTAAGAACCTTTACATCTGTTAGAAACCTTCAAAATGAAAGTAAGAGAATCTGACCGGTTCTCTCCAGTAAGAACAGAATTTACAGAAAGGGTGCTGGGAGTTCACATTATTGGTGGGGTGCTAGGGGGCCAAGCCTGGGGTGTAAGCCAACACCAAGGCAGTGCTGAAGGGAAGACACAGGAAGCTTTTGGCAGAAACAGCTGCCCCTGCTGCTATGAATCATACCTAATTGTCCCTATGCATACGTCGGTCACTAGAGATTCAGTCCCGAGTGGGACTATTTGATGAACTAAGCCCTGGTCACATGACCAAGGCCTGGCTTCAAAGAGAAGGGCGGGAAGAACTGGTATGTTGGTTACTATAATCGGAGGCAGCACCCTGTGTTCCATGGGGACTGATGGTGGATTATGCCAGAGGGGAAAGTTTGGAAGGTAGACAGCCATAAAAAAATGCTGATTCTCCACTTCACCTTTGAACTGTCAGTCATAGCAACAGGAGACTGGCGGCCACCTTATAATGAGTTGTTCAAAACCTAGGTTTCAGCAGGTGATGGCCAGTTCGGTGAATCTTGAGGGCACGCCATACCTTAGAAGGCCAAATTTAAGTTCCCTCAGCCTTAAAAAAACTATGTCTTTTAAGTAATTAGCCTTAAAACTTTGTCTTTAGTAACACAATAGTTTGAATCAATTCAGAGACTATATAAACAAATAGTAACAGATTATACAGACTTTAAATACTTATGTGTACTGTAAGACAAATTGGTTACTTTTAACTTTCACACACACACACACACTCTAATCAGTCAGGCTATTTCCTACACAAAAGTCATTTTAATGATCACTTTAGTAACTTTCCATCTGTATTTAGTTTATTGTGGCTATATGAACTTGGTAGCTCAAAACAACAGAAGTGTATTCTCCCACAGGTCTTGAGGCCTGAGGTCTGAATCAAGCTGTCCCTAGGGCTGAATTCCTCCCAAGCGTCTGGGGGAGAAGACATTCCATGCCCCTTCCAGCTTCTGGTGGCTCCGTCTGGGGTGCTGCTCTCCAATCTCTGACTCTCCCGTCTCATTGCTGCCTCTGTACGTCCTCTCCTCTGTATCCCTGATTTCTCCCTTTGCCCTTTTAAGGGAGCTTGTGATGGCATTTAGGGTTCACTCACATAATATTCTCATCTCAAGATCCTTAATTTAATCACATTTGTCATTTCAGGATGGGGGGAGGGAAGAGGAGGAGGTGAGCAGGGAGGAGAGGACCAATGAGAGGAAGAAGAGAGTGAGAAACTACAGAAATACTAGAAGAAACATGGATGAATTCCTCTATAATCTGTAACTGGGGAAAGATTTTCTAAATATGAATCAAAATCTAGAACCAATAAAACATTGATAAATTTAGCCACAAAAATTCAAGCTGTCCACCTGTAAAAAAAAATTTAAAAAAAAACAAAATCAAAGGTAAATAAGCTGAGATGAAAATGTTTGCAACTTATAATGAAAAGGACAAATAACACTAATTCATAAAGAGCTTGTGAGTATACCAGAAAACAGGAAAAATGGGCAAAGACATGTACATTCACAGGAAAATAAGGAAATGGTTTATAAATATCAAAAAGACCTTCAACCTCACTTCTCCCGCCCCCCGACCCACATGGTCTCTTTATGCAATGGCTCAGGGCTCCAAAATTAAAGAGGAAGAGATCTTTTAAGATAACAGCCTTGCAAGCTGTTCAAGGTCATGTCTCATACATACTATGAATCACAGGACCAGGACCAGCCCATATTCAAGGAAAGAGGCAATAGATTCTACCTAGTTATAGAAAACTGGCAAGGCAGCACTGCACAATAAAGCATGTGGGATGGCAACTACTGTTACAGCCATCTTTGGAAATACAACCTACCATAAAATGCAAATTAAAACATTAATATTTCTCACCCATTAAATTCACAAAAATCTAAAAGTTGACAACACACTCAAAGGAAATAGGTACTCTCACACATTTCAAGTAGGAGTATGGCACAGGTCCGATGAAAGGGAAGTTGGTAATATTACCTTTTGACACAGCAATCATAATCCTATTTCTACCTCTATGAGTAGGATACATATACACATTCATTTTATTAACTTCTGTTTTCTTTTTTGGCACCCCCAAGCACAGGCAATGGGAAGCTATGAGCTTCTTTCCTTTAAATGAATTAAAAGCATCATCAAATGATATGCTAGAAGCATCATGGCTAGTCTTATATTCCGTCTCACACTCTGAAGATCTCAGAGTATATCTGAGAGGTCTGGTTTTGCAACAACTTGATATTCTGCACTTTTGTGTGTAGATGAGCTTCAGCTTCCAAGTAGCTCATAAATTAATATTTAATGAAATCATTTGCCTGGATATTTCTCAAGTCTTCCTGTTAATCTCCTGAATACTTTATATTTGGTGTTGCACCTCACACTCCTAAGTCAATCACAGGCTTATCAGGACTATCATACATGTCCCATGTACATCTGTACATAAGCAGTTTATTTCTGTATAATTATTCCTCATAAGTCATTTTTCTCCAGGCCAAGAAAAATCTCCTTATGATTACTTGAGTTGCAGGTAATATTTGGGGAAATCATTTTAGACCTCAATCAATGTTAGTTTCAGAGGGCTAAAAAAATGACCACTAAACAAATTATTTAAAAACAAGAGGCAAAGAAATTTACCAATGATATAGTAATTATTCTTGGAGCATGACCTCAAAACAAGCGTAGGATGTCTTATAGCAAGCATTTTAAAGATCATTTTTTAAGAACAACATGAAATCAATTACCTACAGAATGAAAGAAATTGCTATTTTGATATATACAGGATGGGTAATTTAGAAGCACAGGATCTCTCGTAACATACATACATGTGTAAAACATTACTATCTCTAAAAAGGATTACTGTATTTTGATGTGTATACTGCGTACCTTTGTACCCAAATTTCAGAGGGAAAGAGAAGGATGCACATTATACATGGGTAGCACTAATTCCATATACATATAAATATTTTTAATTCTTTTATTGATGCTTATGTGTTAAAAGTGTAGCTCTAGAAACCAATGACAATATCCGTATGCAAAATATTACCCTGCAATACGGTAATCAGCTTTGTTTCTAAATATAAATTAAAAATTGAATTAGAAAATTAAAATGAAAGATTTCTTTCCTGAAAGTTTGGGCCAAAAATGCAGGTGCACACTATACATGGGAGTACCCCATACATGGCAAAACATGGCACTTTCTTTCAAATAATCTTAAATAAGCTGGTAAGTTTTGAAAACTGTTAGGTGTCTCAAAATGTCAAAGATAAATGTGAAAATAATGAATAGGCCTCATTAGTGGAAAAAAGTTAATATAGTATTTTATATAATTAAAATGTGCATATTTATTTCATCTCAAAACTATGACCTATACATTCAAACCTAGACAAACTTGTATTTTTATAATTATCCTAGAGCATATTTTAGGAAACATCCATCACCACCCCTCCCCAAATAAATCAAGATTTCTCAGGCTCAGCACTACTGACATTTGAGGCCCAGTAATTGTTTTGAAGACTGTCCTGGCCTTTCGCACTAGACACTAGTATTCCTGCTTCCCCACCTCCACATCCCCCCCCCAACCCCCACCCCTGCTGTGAAACCAAAAAGACGCCTCCATTGCCAAATGTCCACTGGGGGGCACAATCGCTCCACTCGCAAACCAGCACACCAGACAAATGCTTCATTAAACATCGCCAGTTAAGTAACTTCCACATTTTTATGTCCCATTTTCTTTCTAATTATCTAAAATCTAGTTAAAATACAGATTCCTCTCTGGGGAAAACAGTTGGCCACTATTACCATTACCCATCTACTCCATTAAAGTTCATAAAAATAAGAAATTTTAGGCAATTGTTATGTACAGCTGTTACTGAGGAATAACATTGCAAAATATACATTGATCAAATCCATAAAAGACAAAGCAGTTAAGATCAACCTTCATCAGAATAGAAATATTAGACATACTAACTGTGCTGTTAGCACTTGCCTACACTCTGATTTTTTTCATTTTGCTAAGGCTTTCCTTCTCCAAACAGATCTTCCCTTATCTGCAAAAGAGCAAGTTAAAATTACTAGTGCTAATGAAGGGGAATATAAATATGGTCAACAGCAGATAGTTTGATCTAAGAATACATCTACTTTTTATTTTTTGCCATCATCTAGATATGAATCCAGATGCCAAAATTATATTCATTGAATCTCTAGGAGATCGAAGGGAGATACAAAATTACCTGAAGAATCTGGACCAAGGTGAAATATTACATTAAGGATAACTGAATGTAAACTATAATTTGTTCCAGACATTTTATCATGGGCTAATATAATTTGTTTATATTCAACACAGTAACAAAATACAAAACAGAATGCAAAACTCTCATTTCATATAGTTTAAAAAGAATCTCTTTATTAAACCTGTTACAGTAGCATCCATTTTTTTTTTTTTAAATATAAGTACAAAAGAATTCTAGGATTGTCACCAAAAACGTAATCAATGAACGATGGTATTTTGAGTTATTTTTTTTCAGGTCCCCAAATGTTTTCATTTTTTCCCCCCTACAATAAATTAGGGTTTTTAAACCTTAAGCAAATTCTTTTTGCACCCCCCTCCCACCAGTTTTATCAACTAGGATTCTCGGAAAACCGCTGATACTAATCTGTTTCCTGGGGTATTTCAAACTATCCTGAGCTTTTCCTACACTACTTTTTGTGAAAGGATTTCCTATTAACCAAAGTTAAAATGTGATCTTTGAAGAATTTGATTTCAGATGAAAATTACACATAAAAGCCATCTTATAATTACATTGTCAAGTCGGAAAATGAAACTCTATGCTATGTATGACACATGATAGCACTTAACCTTCTATTTTCTGGTTCGACAGAAACTGTCAAGTTTCTTTTTAAAAGATACACATATACATTTTAAATTTGGCATTCTACATTCAGTAAAAATCAATTCTGATTTTAATTACGGTGGAATTTTGACAATTCTAGCAATGGTAAAGATGAATTTTATATCGCTGTTATATAGCAAAAATCAAATAACATCGTAAGATTCCAAATGTATAACCTGGGAGAAATGAGAATATATTTCAATCAAGAACATATCATCTAAAAAAATAGTATTGCTATCCAGTCTTAGCAGTTTCTCATTACATTTCTGCAAGTCCTAAATGTTTAGAATAAATGTAGCATTCAGATAATACTATAGTCCATGAAAAGAGTATATTCTTTTATTGTTTTTGTTCATACATGTTAAGTTTCAAATTTCAATCATAAAATTCAATAAATTTGTTTCCTTAATCATAAAAACTTGCTTTACACATTATTTACATGTCACCCAAGTCTACAGCCATACAGGACATCACAAGGACTTGACTCTACATGGTGTCAACACACAACAGGAGGGAGGTGTCAAGTAACATACATTCAAAGATTAATTTGTAGATATGTGCACAGTGTATTTGGCACTGACCAACAACTCTCTTTTAACAGGCATTGTTAGGCCTTAGGAACAATATACCGCACCTTGCTATTCACATCAAAACCAGCTTTCAAACTCTACAATAGTAACAATTTTTAAGAAACAAAACCAAACCAGAATTGGGACTGGAATTCCAACCCTCTCCGACTTCTTGCTATGCTCCAAGATGCCATTTATAATGTAGGTTTAATCTGGTAACTTCTCCATTGTGGGGGAGTGTCAAGGAGAAACAACTTAAATATCCTCCAACAGACATAAAAAGAACACTTTAAAATTACTACTTCTTGGGAGTACAAAGGGAGCTCCAAAAATGCCTAACTAGTGATAATTTTGGCAGGAATTACAGAATGACCAATGCCATTCAAGCTGTGGAGATTGTACTAGTAGTTGAGCACATGAGAAGCATCTGGAATGCCTCCACCTGAATTCAGAATCTTTAGTGACTTATTTTAAGGGACTCTCCCTAGGCCTATAATAGACTCAGGTTCCAGGCTATAGATTTACTCTGATGTATAACACTACACTGCTATAAAATGGAAGGAAATAAAGGACAAAGACAACTATTAAACCTTTAATGACTTAGGCTATATTCCAGTGGGTAATTTATTTGACTAATTTCATTTTACAAATATTAAATCATTTCAGTTGGGCCCATTAAATTTTATTCATTAAAGCTATACATATTCCAGAATGTTTAAAAAAGACAACATTTATAAAAAGCATAAATTCAGTCTTAAACTAAGGCCAAAGAAAGCCTCAACAGAATATGGACCACAGTACAGGGGAACGGAAGTCAAAAATTCTCTGGTAAAGCTTAGAGACATGCTACAGCTTCACACAAAACTCTTAGCAATAAGCTGACTTTAAAAAAAAAAAAAAAAGTCTTACAGTGTATAAGGAACTATGAATCGGAAAGTAGTGTCACTAAACCAAAATTTAGTTTAATCATTTTATTTCAAGTATATTTTGAAAATCTTAAGTGGGGTTTTGTAATCCAAAATTGAAACATTTATTCTTTATACCTTTTTAATCTGAAAGGCAATTCCAGATCTCACTTTACAAATCCAGTCTTCTCTTCTATTTTGCAGACTTCTGAGACCTGTATTTAAACTTCCCCATTCTAAATGTACAATTTTAGATAACTATTATATACTCGTTGGTAAGATTTTTCTGAAAACTGTCCAAATATAAAGAATGGTTTCTGTCCAAGGATCGTCAGTGAGGGAAATATGAAACACCTATCAAAAAATTATTCATTTAAAAAATAACAGAACCAGTGCTGTTCTCTGTCATGAAAGAGAACATGTAAAATTTACTTTTGTAGACTTTGGTGATGTTTTATTACCTACACAGACCTCAATCTTACTTAAAGATCTGTTATACACAGTCACCATCGGGATTTACTGAGTAAAAGTCCTGCGTACTGACGTGGTCCTAAATGTGCTATTCCAGAGAGGAACAGGTTACTTGTGGGGAAAAGAGCTGCCTTGTAACTTCCCTCAAATGTTTATTTTAAATAAACATAGTTAATGGCAATATTTTTTTAACCAGCTTTGGATACTATGTAGCACACTGCGCACCAAACAAAGAAGAAAATCCAAACCTTCTTTCCTTTTTTAGGAAACTTTTCACCTTTACTTTTAAGGTTACCACTTCTTCACCTTTCTTGAACTGCCTAATACATAAAATTTTTTTAATTCTGCCTTTCAATGTTGTAAGAGTTCTTTTTCAAATGATCCTCACAACCCGGAACAAAGACAACAGATCAATACTCTCAAGTCACAGTTTGACAATGATGAGATGAAAATGGACGGATTATCTGAAAACAGGTATTCCCTCCGCTCCAATGGTGAGCAAATTTTTAACATGTGAGCAACGCAGAACTCCATTCCTCTGGAAATCCCTCAAACTTAGAATGCTTCTGTTTAATTAGTCAATATATTATTCTTAAAAATTAAAGTTTGGTCACCAGGAGAGACTGAAAAAGAAAAAAACTGATTCCCGCCCCCCAAATAATAAACTAACAGCTCTAAACATCCACTCCTCTCCCTACAAAAACAGGGAAGTAGTTGGGGCTGAAGCCTTTAAAGCTGAAATTTCAGCTCTTATATTACTGCTATTTGCTCAAATGTGCAAGTTCATGTATTTCCTTCTCCAATACTTCCCATTTTTAAGTTTATTTCCATACACACATACATACACACACATATACACTCATACATACTTAGTCTCAAGTAAGACACTTTTTTGTGTTTGTTGATAAATTATGAGGATTATGAACTAGGTGTGTATAGGGTTTCATAGGTGCTTTGTAAACATCAGAGTCACTTGGGTCCTTTTCTCCAAAAGCCTGACATCAAATTGTGCAACCAAGGAGCACTACTTTCCCAGGCGCTGTTCACACGCTGCATATTGACGAAGTGCTGAGAAAAAGTCCTCATATCTGATGTTTAGGTGAGAAGGCAAAGAACTGAAAAGAAAGCACAGGGGGAAAAGAGTAATTAGATGACATACTATGATTTGGACGGGGGAACCAGAAGGGTAATGACCAAAAAGAGATTAAGGACAGCAGAGAGTAAATAATAAGCACAGAGAATGCAAACCATTTCTACTAAGGATTGTTAAACTCATGGTGAAACAGGTCAAGTGAAAAACAATCTCTTTGAACACAAGTAGACAAAAGCAACTTGCAGTAAGATAGAGATTCAGAACCTCTTAAAGCATAAGTTTGGATTAATAAAACTGGAGATACATTAATAAAGAATTTCACTCAAATTTACTTCAGGAACGCCTCTCTGTCCAAGTAAAGCCAGTACCACTCGAACGGCTTCTGACAGGCAGGCTTTACACTGGCAGAGCCGCACAGCATCCCTGCACGACGCGACACTGAAGCCACGTGGTGAGTAACCAATAAATGAACAACATTTTTCTCACCATTTCCAGTTGCTCAAGGGGACAATTACAGTGTGAAGGGAAGGACTTGAAAGGCAAAGTGAACATAGAGCCAGAGGGTCCAAGATGATAACTCTTTGGGAATTCCCACTAAATCTTAGTACAGTGCTGGGCTCAAGAAACTGGCTGAATCTAACCACCGTCAGTACCCTTTTAGTTACTTACATAATCTCAGTCAACCTGATGTGCCAGGGAAGAAAGCCTAGTGTGCTGTCCACAGGCCCAAACTTCAATACTACATCAGGATCAGGAAAACAATTTGAACCTTGGAAAGAAAACACACATGAACTTACCATGCATTGCTTACAAACAAAGTGACCAAGAGCAAAATCTGTTTAAGTAAATTGGCTTCTTATGCTTTGAGTTTCAGTTCTCTTCAGATGCTTTACTTTTATGTTTCCATACCCTCATCCCACTGCCCAAAGTAAGCTTTAATATCTACATTATTTCCAGATGTGGAACTTCTCCCATCCTAAACCCTACAGGTAGCCCAACTATCTTTCCCAAAACCCCATCTCTTTGAAGACTCATCTTTTAAGATTCAACTTAAGTGCCCTTACAGCATCCTGGGGCCCACACTGTGTTAGGGGCACAAATGCTTATTCTAAAGTTGGTCAAACAACTTTAGATGAAGAGAAACTTATAAAGTATCCACTCCTTCCTTCCCCATGCCCCTCACTTTTATAGCTGAGAACCCAGAAAGACCAACTCCCAACTCTTTGAACTTCTATAAAATAAATCTTAAAATAAGTCTCTGGTATAAGAAAAAAAGAGGCTCTAATCCGAGAGACTCAGGTTCCAACATTTTCTAATAATCTAAATTCTGCCACTAACTTTCTTGTCACACAACTTCTCCAGGGCTTAGTTCCTTTATTTGTTAAATAAGGAGACTACATTAGACAGATCCGTCCAGTAAGTAATAAAGAATTATTTTCATAACAAAGTCTCCTTAAAAGTCTAAGCTGACAGAGTGAACAGATTGAGTAGAACACTTATTCCTCTGCCTGCTGAAAAACAAATCCTCTTTATCAAAAATGATAATAATAAGAAGGGACTTCCAACTAATATGGTATGAAGAAGGTGATAAATCCTCTTAAAAAAAAAGTTTTAAACTGGACAAAACCAATCACTTAGAGGCACTGGATATTAAACAGATGCAGGCTTTTGTTCTTTACAAAAACAAAACACAATGAAAAGAACAGCAGCTAGAGCTTCAGGTTAAGAATAGTAAGCACCTTGGGCCTTCCTGCCTGGAGACGCTCCTAACCTCACATCTCTCTGCTCCCAAACCACTGAAGGGAACTGCAGTTTTACCAGCACAGGGCTGACAGCAAAAAAGCAAGTAGTTTTGCTGCTTGTAGCCAAAAGATATGGGCCCAACTTGGAACTGGATGTTGTGGGCAGGAGGGAGGGGACAATGGTGAAAACCTGTGGATTTGGTAGCTAAAAGTGACAAACTCAAAAGAGAATGAATCAGGAAAACCTACAGCTTTGTTCCCATGAGGAGGTAGCCCCAGTTAGTGCAAGCAGTAAAATGGCCAGGAATTTAACAGGGAGATCCTGGAAATAAGGGCTCAGATAAGCTCTCACAGATTCATAGCTTCCTAGGAAACCACACACACAAAAGGAGGAGGAGGATGGGACAGAGAGGTAGGAAGGGTAAGTAACCAATGCAGGGTGACAAGAAAGGCCAGTGAAATGTAACAGCCAAGGAGATCTGCACACTCACCTGAATGCACTCTCTAAAATCGCACAAAGATTTTAGAAACCTTACAAACTTAGCATGTTGAGCACAACCAGTATCTAGCATGTAGACCATTTGCCTGACACATTAAACTATGTAGACACAGAAAGCCAGACTAAAAAATAAAATTAAAAATAGAAAAACAGAGCAGAGACAGCAGCAGTAATCTTTACAGACAACACAATCTTATACTTAGAAAATCCTAAAACTCTGCAAAAAGAACTACTAGAACTATTATTTTAGCAAGATCACAAGATATAAAAATCAATAATTAAAAAACCAAATGTATTTCCATGTAGTATCAACAATCTGAAAATAAAATAAAATAATCCCATTAACCACAATATCAAAAAGAACAAAATACTTAGGAACAAATTTAACAAAAGAAGTAGACACCCTATATCCTAAAATTACAAAATATTTTTTTAAAGATTTTATTTAGTTTTTAGAGACATAGGAAGGGAGAGAGAAAGAAAGGGAGAGAAACATCAATGTGAAAGAGAAACATCAATTTGTTGCCTCCCGCATACAACTGGTGACAGACCCCACAACCTAGGCCTGTGCCCTGACCAGGAATCAAACTGGCAACCTTTTGCATTGCATTACAATGACCAACAGACAGAGCCACACCAGTAAAGGCTCAAAATTATAAAAAAGTATTAAAAGAAAAATTAGACCTCAAATAGATGGAGAGAGATACTACATTCAAGAATTGGAAGACTATTATTAAATGGTAATTGTCCCCACACTGAGCTAATAGATTCTAAATTCAATCCTTATCAAAAGAGGTGTTTTCTCTTTTTAAATTTGGGTGCAGGGGCTGGGGGGTGAGGAGTTGACAAGCTAATCCTAAAATGTATGTGAAAATGCAAACGGCCCTGAATAGGCAAAAAACCTTTGAAAAAGAGTGTCAAAGTTGAAGGACTTACACTACCTGATTTCAAAGCTTACCACGATAAGTAATAGTTATCAACACAGGGTGGCATTATAAGAACAGACTACAGACCAATGGAACAGAATAGAGAGCCCAGAAATAAACTTACAGATTTATGATAAACTGATCTTCAACAAAGGAGCCATAGTAATTTCAGGGGGAAAGGATAGTCTTTTCAATAAACGGTAGTGGAAGAAAAACTGGCATCCTGTACCTCACACCATTCACAAAAATTGGTCAAGATGGATTACAGACTAAAATGTAACAGCTAAAGCTATAAAAACTTTAGAAGAAAATAACTGTAACTTTGAATTAAGGAAAAATTTCTTAGATATGACCCTAAATGCATGATCCACAAAGGAAAAAAATGATAAACTGGATTTTATAAAAATTAAAATCTTTAATAAAACCATTAAGAAAAAGGTAAGCCATAACTGAAAGTATTTGCAAATCAGATAGCTTATCACTGAAAACTTATACCCAGAATATATAAACACTTCTTAAAACTCAGTAAGCCAAACAACTCATTAAAAATAGACAAAAGATTTGAACACATGACAAACAGTATGCGAAAAATGTTCAGTATCATTAATCATTAGAAAAATATCAATTAAAACCACAAGATACTATTACACGCCCACTTGAATGGCTAAAACTAAAAAAAATACATTTAAAAACATTACAAAATTTAAAAAACTCCAAAACTGACAATACTGTATCTTGGCAAGTACGTGGAGAATCTAGGTTCCTTTATTTTTGACTTTGCTGGTGAGATGTAAGATGGTACAGATTCTTTGGAAAACAGTTTGGAAGTTTCTTAAAAGTTAAATATTCACTCACCACACAATCCAGCAATTCTTTTACAAGTTATCTACCCAAGAGAAGAGAAAACATGACCACATAAACACCTGTACGTGAATGGTCAGAGGAGCAGTATCCAAACAAACCAAATGACATCAACCAAATGTGGTATATCCATAAAACAAATTACTATTCACCAATAAAAAAATAATTACTAATAATGCCATATGAAAGGAACCTCAAAAAATATGCTGAGTAAACACAGCAAGACATGAAAGACTACATATTATTCCATTTATATAAAATTTCTAGAAAAGGCTAAATTATAGGCACAAAACAGATCAGTAATTGCCTGAAGCTGGGGGTAGGAGGGGAAAGATCAACTGTAGTCACAAGGGAACTTTTGAGAGTGACAACATTTAGAGGGTTTGCTTCTGCCATGGTAATGAGTTAACTTACAGCCCATGGACATTTTCATTTATCATCCGTCTACAACCCCTGAAAGCAACACCTGGGCTCAATACTTTTGCACTTCTCCAAAATAAAGGAGTAAGACAGAAAATGCATGACTAATAACTAAGGTTAATGAAGACTATGTGAATGAACAAATACTATATGTATATGTAGAAGTACTGCCTTTCTTCAAAAGGGTCAAGGTACAATGCTATGAACAGAAGGATCATTAAGTTAAGGCAAAAAGTTCCCAGGGGGCTATAGAGAGAACAATCAAACCAAAGGCTTTTATATAAACAGTTGAAGAAAGAGAAATAAAATGTTACATTTGGTATAAACATGACAAATACAGTGGTGTATGTGATATACCACCACAAAAGGAACCCTAAAAAAGGAGTCATAAATGACAGTTAAGATTATATTCTTGGGATTGCTTCCTAAATAGCTATTAAGTTCAAACTTAATAGAGAGTTCAAGCTAAAAAGAGGGAGGGGGGAGTGTGACATTATAGTATAATAAAAAATAAATATTTAGGCTTGTCCCAGTTTGCTGGTACAGAGCTGCTAAAACCCCACGAATTTCCAGAGTAATAGGGGTAAGAAGAAAATCTTGTTATTCATAAGCCCCTTTCAACCAGAGCAGAGTTTATGTTATCAAGCTAACTATTGGTAGGCCCCTAGACAGCTTCAGGACAGAGACCATTCCAAAGGAATTAACCATGTGATTAGAGGGTTGTAACTTTCAGCCACCAACCTCCAGGTAGGAGAAAGGGGCTGGAGATTGAGCTCAATCAATAATGGCCCATGACTTGATCAATGATGCCCCAGTAAAAGAGCCTCCATAAGCCCTGCCTAGCGGACAGGACCAGGAGAGCTTCCAGGCTGGTAAACAGGAGTGCGGTGTCCCCGAAGAGGGCACGACTGCCTGACACCAACGCCAGAGGAGACATTACCACCCTCCCCCACCACGACTTTGCTGTGTACACCTTGTATTTGGCTCCTACTGTGTTGTATCCTTTGTAACCGGTAAACTTAAGTGCCTTCCTGAGTTCTGTGAGCCATTCTAGCAAGGTATCACAACTCAGAAGGGACTCATGGGAACCTCCTATTTATAGCCAGTTTATCTGAAGTACTGGTGGCCAGAGAATTGCAACTGACGCCTGAAGTGGGGACAGTCTTGTAGGACTGAGCCCTTAAACCTGGTATAATCTGACACTAACTCTGGGTAGTTCATAGTGAAATTATATTGAATTGGTGGACACCCAGATGGTGTCTGGAAAATTAGAAAAATTCATTGTTGGTGTAGAAAAACCGCCCATAGGGAAGAAGGCTAACAAGCGTAAGTTCTCTTTTTAAGAATATTCGTGACTCCCACAAAAATCTTCTTAGGTCCCCTTCTTTACCTGCAAGTGCTTATGCAAGTGAGTCTGTAGTAGGTGGTTAGATAGGCATGTGAGCGGAAACAGTGGGCCAGGTTAGGCGGTCACCAGGGCATACAACACCAGGTGCCTGGCAACTGGCCAAAACTATAAGCCCTTGAGTTTCCATTTCCTTAAGTATTAACCCCTGAAAGATGACATCTAAGCTTCAGCTGTGTTTCAGCTCCAGACCCAGAGAAACAGCAAAATCAGAGGGAGTGACGCTATGGCTAACGTCAGGGCCAGGCTGCACTGACTAATGACCCTCTGACGCCGACCAGTCAGTGGAGGCCACAAAGGGGCACACCTAGAAAGCTGATGAATGTTAAGATCCTCCCCAGAGACACTGAAGATGGAGGACTCAGTGCAACTCTAAGAAACATGCCTTTGCTTTTCCCCACCCCCTTCTTTCCCCAGTGTGCTCCCACCCCGGAGCATGCCCATTTCTCTTTCGCCATTTTTGTCACTGCAGGGGTGCATCTCTCTCCCTCTCTTGTCTAAGCTCCAAGGGCCCTTCTACTACCTCTATAACTTTGTAAATAAACTTTTCCTTATAAAAGGTCTGTCCAGAAAAAGTCTAGCCATTGTCAATATAATGAGAACAGTTTGCACATCGATGTAACCTGGCAGCCAAGGAGAGTGGACTGGAATGTGCATGTGTGAACAATGGCGACTTCACTGTACTAGTCAGTGGGGGCGGTACACTCCATTGTGTGAGCACGTGTACTGTGTGGCTGTCGCACTCAAAATGACTGAATAGAGCAATGAGTCTGCATCAAATTTTGCTTAAGCTTGAAATTTCCTCCACAGAAACTACGGGCAACTGGTGATTGGCAGCTTCATCACAACAAGCCTGATAATGCATTATGTCTTGTGCAATTTTTTTGGTGAAACATCAAATCACCCAGATAACTCAGCACCCCCATACAACCCAGATTTGGCACCCTGCAACTTCTGGCTTTCCCCAAAACTAAAACCATCTTGGAAAGGAAAGAGACTCCAGACCATTGATGAGATTCACGAAAATATGATGGGGCAGCTGATGGCGATTGGAAGAACTGTGTGAGGTCCTAAGGTGTCTACTTTGAAGGGGACTGAGGTGTCATTGTCCTATGTACAATGTTTCTTGTATCTTCTTCAATAAGTGTCTTTTTCATATTACATGGCTGGATACCTTCTGGACAGACCTCGCAATCTAAGATCCTCGGCTCTGAATTCTTTTCAAGCAAAACTCAAGAACTGAGGTTGCCTAACTGAGGTTGACACCTGGTGCCATTTTTCCGCCTCTAATAAGCTGACTACAGATTTCATTATTTCAAAACCATTATCATGTAGGATCTTTAAACTTCAGAAACATGACATGTATAATAACAAGATCAGGCTTTAGAATGTGAAAGGAACCTAGATATTCTTCTTTATACTGTATATTTGTGGGAGACAACTAAAAACAAATATATACTACTTACTAAGTAAACTGTCTAACATATGTACATCCAAATCTGTGGATTTCTTTTGCTGCTGGGCTACTAATTGGCAAAATTCCTGAGCAGCTCGTACAATATCTGCTTTTCCATCTTCTGGGGACAGGACCTTCACTGCCGACTGGCAATTTAAAACTGGAGGAAAACACAAGCAAGATATTAAAAAACACCCTCTTCCAGATATATTTCAAAATCAGTTTCAAGATACATTAAATTCAGGCCAAAATGAAGGTACGGTTCTTACTGTAAAATGGAATAATTTAAGCCTTTCAATTTCCACATCAAAACATACTTAAGCTACTTTCCTCCAAAAGAACCCACACAACACATTTATGCATATATTTATATACTGACTTCTTTTTAAAGTACTCAGAATGATCTTGTATCTGTGAATAAATCCTCTAGCAAATAGGAATTTTAAATATAGTGTATATTACAATTTCTTAAGTCTAAAACGGCATCTACAATCACAGTAGTTAGTAGTAACACAGATTAAAGACAAAAAATATATTTTAATGGAATATGCAATCTATAACACATAACCACCTTATGAAATTTATGATTCTATCAAAGCTACTTTACAACTGATAGGATTCTAGGTAAGTGATAGCAATGCCAAATTCCTGTCTATAGAGGTTCCTGCTAATCCCATATAAAAACCATTGCAATATTCCTGATCTGGCAATGTGTCTGTTCTTCAAATTCTCTTTTGAAATGATTATAAAATCTGCCTGGTTCCTGGTGGCTTATGAGTTATATAAAATTTTTAACATGTGTGTATTTTTTTTAATTTTTATTTTTTGTTCAAATACATTTGTCTCTACCTTCCCACCACTACATATTTTTTAGTATCTATGAAAGTCATTTTTTTTTCTTTTTACTGATTCCAGAGAGAGGAGAAGGGAGAGAGAAAAAGAGGGAGAAAAACATCCATGTGAGAGAGAAACAGTGATCGGTTGCCACTTGCACATTCCACAACTGGGACCAAACCCGAAATCCAGCCATGCGCCTTGACCAGGAATCAAACCCTGACCTTTCAGTTTGCGGGACAATACCCAATCAACTGAGGCACACCAGCCAGGGCAAAAGTCATGATTTTATTTTTTCCTGAAAATTATTAACAAAATAAAGCATGAAAAGTCTAAATCTGATGATTAAAGATGGTGACAACAATGACTAACAGGGCAAATGAATAAATAAGTGAGTGACAATTTGCCTTGAACCACAAAACACATCTGCCTATGTCATTCAACTTTACATTTAAGCTTACCTTGATCATCTTTGTCATTACTATTTGCAAACTCTGTCGAGTATTTGGAACAATCTAAGCCCAGAAGTTCCTGCTGTTGTTTTAAAATTTCATCCATCAATCTGGAGTTATTTCTTTTGAAAATACCTTTAAAAAAACAACAACAAGTAAATCCCAACAAGGGTAATTCATCCTCTTCAATAATTAATGTATGTTTGCTGTAAAAAAAAAATGCTGGACCCAGAACTGGACATATTCCAAATGAAGTATTGATGACTAATTCTAAACTAGAATCTGAAAGGAAATTATACCAAAACTTTGTTAATACAAGAGCCTGACTTCAGGCTAAAGTCAAAAACAAAATAACCAAACAGGGGTAGGTATTTAATGTCTATATATATGATAGAAATTTAGACCTGGAAATCTTAAGAGATCATTTACTTGACCACTTCATTTACAAATTAAGAAACTGAGACCCAATGTCCTTAAGGTTCTGGTCCAACCATTTATGAACTGCAGCAGTGGTCTAGAATCTATACTAACAAAATTTAGTGAATTCGACAAAATATGGAAATACACATCATAAAATTGTTTTTTACCATACACAGAAAAGTTAAACTTTAACTATCATGTTGGATGAGAGAACCATGTGACATACATTTAATGTAAAAATATAAAAAGTTCTAAATAAAAACAAACGGCAATATTGTGGCTATTTTCAGAGAAGCCAACTTTCTGGTGTCCGTCTTTTTGGCATTTACCAAATGTTCTTTTCAGTCACACAGGATTTTAAAACAGTTCAAAGATTAACTGGGAAAGGGAACATAGTAAATACGTAAAAAATAGCACAGAAGCTGCTGAATATGCTGTATATAAATGCCAACTTGGCAGTATATGTGTAATAGCAGCTCAAAGATAAAAGCAGTCTCCTTTGGCAGGGGAAAGGTTTTGTAAAATAATTAAGACTTGAGAAAAGAAAATGGAAAGGATATTTAGGTGGAGAAAATGCTTAAGAAAAAAACACGGAATGCTCAGAAGACAGACAAATGCTGCTGGTGCAAAGAATGTGAGAAAAGGGGAAAAGGGATAGTCCTAATTTCATTTCACTTCGTCTGCTCAAAGGGTGTCAACAATTTCTGAGCAATGTGGAATGTGTGGAAATTTATGTCTTCAGGAAAATTAACCTGATAACAGTACAGCGAAGGCCAGTCAGCAGACTACTGCAGTAGTCCATACATAATTTGATGAAGCAATGGAAAAGGATTCATTACAAAGGAAAAATTGATAGAATGAAGAGCATGACTTAATTAGAGGTGAACACAGAAAAGTCCATGGCTTTAATCACTGGTAACAGAAAATGTTAACATCTTTTTTAAGTAGGGAAATTCTACAAAGAGAAATGGCTTGAGAGAAAAGTTTAGTTTTTACATAGGTCATTACAAAATATTTAGGTAAGGATTTATCATAAAAGTGATTAAGAAACAGGAGGATAGGATGTTCAAAAAAGGTTGTTATATAAGTACCTCATGGGTACGAATCTTACCTGTTTTGTTTACTGGGGCTCACGTACTACCTGGTACAGAACAGACACTCAACAAATACCATCTACTGAAAGAGTAAGACAAGGCAGAGACGAAGGGATAGGGAAAGCCTCTTTAGGGTTAAGTGACTTGTCGGCTGACCCCTAAAGAATTAAGAGAATTTTCTAGGTGTGAGGCGGGGAAGGTAACATAGGAAAAAATGGAGGAAGGAGACGTGGATAGACATTTGAGTGTCATCCTCCTTAAGGAGAGAACCATACACTTAAGAAATGATAAATAAAATTTCCCAAATTAAAGGAATCTAGATGGGGGAGAGCAGAAGGCTAAGGACGTGGCTCTTTATCAAAGTCCACAATCATTAAGACTCTAAGCTGGGAAAGATACAGGAGAACACTTCGTTAACGCCCATGTCCAGAGCAAGATTCCACCCGCGACCCGAGCCCCTTCGCCAGACCTCCCTTTCTGTCCAAGTGCTCCTCCTTCTCTGATCATACTTTCTGAAACGATTTTAAACAACTTCGGACCAGGACAGGGTAAGGTGAGTGAAGCAAAAATTTAAGGGGGCGCCCAAAACTCAGTAATTAAGACAAGCAGTAACAATACACTATCTTTAAAAACTTAAAATCAATGCAAAACATCCATGATGAAAAAAACATTAAAATTTTAAGTAAAAACAGGATCAGCATTTGGGTTCTTTCATTTCCAGTTCATTCAAACATTTAATCCTACCCAAAAGTTCTGTAAGCATCTGAAAATGTACACATCTAAAACATGGCAGCTTATCTTTAAAGCTAGCTCTCAGGCACATGTATTTCATCAAGTTAAAAAAAGGGGGCGGGGTGCGGAATGTGAAAACTTAACTTGCACTTGGGGACAAGGCCTGGAAGAGACTAGGCAATATAAAAGCAAATGATGGGGCAAGAGGTGACTGCAAATCCTAACTGCTGTAAAGCTGTTTAAATTAATAAAGAAATAAAAACCATAGCCCTTCTTCTTGTTCTATTTCTAATAAAGGCATTACTACCTGCCCAGTCACCCCAGGCATCTTCTCTACTCTTTAGAGGTATCACCACCACCCCGCCAGTGTCCTATTAATACACGGAGGCCGTAGCCTCCTCTACAGCAGTGTTTCCGGTACCCATTTATTTTTGTCCATTGTCCCTACTGTTTCAAAACGTAGTCTTCTTTATAATAGTAGAACCACCTTCTGATGCGTCTTTCCTGCCTATTCTCATTTATCACTAGGTTGACGCCAAGATTCACTCTCCCTGAGGACATCTTCTCTCCTGACACATTCCAACTTTAATGTCTTCAGTGGCTCCCCAAATACTGACTGTATGAAGAACTGAAGAACAAGCTGCCCAAACCAGCATTAACATTCCAGCCTATGCTTCCACATTTGGCAGGTGGAAATAATTTATATTTATGAAATAAATGAATCTTCCTATTTCTCTGTAGTACTATATTGCCAGCAAAATAGATTGCCTTATATTCCTTCAAAAACACATGAAGAGACGTCAACCTCCATTTTATGACGTTACCCTGCGCAGCCCCACACTGTAAAATTCTCCCTATTCTTCGTAGGCCAGCTGAAATGTCACTTATCTGCAGTCCCAGCCAGACGTTCCCCATTTCTCCTGACAGACTTTCACACCCTCCAAATACACACATTTTCTTCAAACTCTTTAACACATCAATATTCTACTTTTTATTTTAGTTACAGCTTAACTTCCCTACGAAACTGTACTTAGTTGTAACTTGTATCTTACTCGTTTCTTCTCCCCAGGGCACCTTCCACAGAGCAGGAGTTCAATGTTTATTCAATAAACTGAATTATCGGTATACAAAATGCCACCTAAAAACAGGAGAACCTAAATGAACATGTCACTGAATGGAATTTTTCAAAAGTTTCCAGGAACCTCTCACAAGAAAAGCAGACACTTCCTCATTGCACACAGGCAGAAATTTTTTTTAAATAAGAATATTACACAGAGACGTAGTTACAAAGACTTTCATAAAGTTATTTTAAACAGAACCTTTGTGTTGGCTGATTTGGATAAAGAGATGAAATTTTTCAGAAGTATTGTTTCTGAGATATGCTAAATGCATAGATAAGACAGCTATTAGCAAGATGGGTCCTCACTGTCCTCCAAGGTACTCATCTCAGTTACACATAAGCAAGATTATCTGCTTACAATTTTCTTCAGATTCAAGTCTACACACCCACTTCACATGAAACACAAGAAATGCAACAAGATGTAAGCGTGCTTTTGATTAAGATATAAGATACGCAATTCCTCTAGCAATACCATAGTTTATGTGGAGATTCTTTTTCTCATATCATAATTCATCGTGTTTGTTTTCACAGAATCTAAGATAAAGCCAAAATGATATAATAAAAGTAAAGAAACCATCACAGAAGGCATTTTATGTAAAAGGATGTTGAGACTACATTCATTCAGGAATAACTGATCTAAGAAATAAATATTTTGTAAATACTCAAATTTTTTAGAAAACTGTATTTTACAGAATTATATAGTAAGTCATAAGCTTCAAGTATTATTTCATCCAATTCTTTTACAGATATGGAACTAAGACCCAGAAAGGTCAAACAACTGCCCTTGGTCAGGAGTCTAATAATTTGGCAGGAAATCAAGGTCTCTAGGTTTCTAATTATTCAGTTCAGTAACTATTTCTAACATTGATAAAGAATGATAAATCCACTTCACTATTAAATTTCAAATTCTTCTCTCAAAAAAGTTAGATTCCATAAAACAGAACTGACCTTTTTACAAATGAACAGCATTTTCGGAAAAAAACTAGAACTAGAGTCTGTTAATTAAATTCTTTAAGAATGACTTAGGAATATAAAATAAGTTTTTGTAACAATGATTTAAATAACTTGACATTACGATTTGTTGCTCTACAACTATATCTCATGGACTCTCAATTTTCCAACTATAAACTATGGAAATAAATATATATATGATATATGGAAGAGCAAAAAAATTTTAAAACACACACATGCACACAACCACAAAAATCGACAACTCCCATAAAAGAATAAAACTTTAGGCTAGGAAAGCCAGACCTCAGAAAGTCTACAATGTTTTTGGTATTTCTTAATAAACATTAACTATGTACTCTGAGGGCCAAATGTACTTCTTTTTATATTCCAAGAAATACCTGTTTTAAATTCTAATACTAAAAAGTATTTAAGATGTTCAAAGTTTAGACAATAAAGGAATGTCCCCTAACCATCCATCCACCTTATGTTGGAAGGTAAATAACACAACTATTTCCAGTTCTTAATATTTCCTAACCTTTGTCAACACACATGGGCAATCTTGGAATCTGTGATCATGCAATTCTATATCCCATTTTTCACGTGTATGACATGTATCCTTCCTTGGTGCTAATCTCATGATAGTTTCGACAATTACATTATTTAACAAAAAAGGCCTTTGCTGATTTTGTTGAGCTCTTAAAATACAAACATCAGTACTTCCCCAGCAAAAATCATTCCCATTATAGGTAAAGGCCAATATTACTGGTGAACATGGAAATTAGGTACAAAGAGGGGAGCTATCAGAGATGTAGGCAAAG